TGTTTTCTGTGATCTTGCTAGTTTTCTACCACAGTCCCCAATTAAAGAGTGTCAAGTAGAACATTTTTCAGTATAACTTAACCAAACTGTAGATATAAAAACTTCTTAGAAGGCAGACAAAAAATATGTGGAAACAAACTAAAAGAAACTAAATTGTATCTAAGTTTAATTACATTGTGAAAGTAAGAACTCTTGTCACTTCACTTGATACTAACTTCAATCATATTCTGCTGATATTATCAATATCATGGTGTCTTTGATCTTAACTTTTAAGGAAAATTTAGATGACTACTTCCCTTTAATATTCAGAAGCCAATAAGGAATATAAGAAAGTCGTGTATTCTTTGATTTGAATTAATTTGGCTTGTAACACTTTAGATGAATAGATATGAGTATACATATATATATTGGGGTTCATTTAAATATAATATACTAGAATTTATTGGTTACTGAGTGTAGATTTGTGTACAATGGAAGAAAGGATAATCTCAGATATCTTGAAGCTATATTACATCCTCACTATAATATACTAGAATTTATTGGTTACTGAGTGTAGATTTGTGTACAATGGAAGAAAGGATAATCTCAGATATCTTGAAGCTATATTACATCCTCACTATAATATACTAGAATTTATTGGTTACTGAGTGTAGATTTGTGTACAATGGAAGAAAGGATAATCTCAGATATCTTAAAGCTATATTACATCTTCACTATAATATACTAGAATTTATTGGTTACTGAGTGTAGATTTGTGTACAATGGAAGAAAGGATAATCTCAGATATCTTGAAGCTATATTACATCTTCACTATAATATACTAGAATTTATTGGTTACTGAGTGTAGATTTGTGTACAATGGAAGAAAGGATAATCTCAGATATCTTGAAGCTATATTACATCTTCACTATAATATACTAGAATTTATTGGTTACTGAGTGTAGATTTGTGTACAATGGAAGAAAGGATAATCTCAGATATCTTGAAGCTATATTACATCTTCACTATAATATACTAGAATTTATTGGTTACTGAGTGTAGATTTGTGTACAATGGAAGAAAGGATAATCTCAGATATCTTGAAGCTATATTACATCCTCACTATAATATACTAGAATTTATTGGTTACTGAGTGTAGATTTGTGTACAATGGAAGAAAGGATAATCTCAGATATCTTGAAGCTATATTACATCCTCACTATAATATACTAGAATTTATTGGTTACTGAGTGTAGATTTGTGTACAATGGAAGAAAGGATAATCTCAGATATCTTGAAGCTATATTACATCTTCACTATAATATACTAGAAGTTATTGGGTTACAGAATGTAGATTTGTGTATAATGGAAGAAAAGATTACAGTGGAGCCGCGTTTATCCGGTTGCCGATAATCCGGAAACCCTGATATCTGCACGCTTTTTACTGGGAACGGAATATTTACTATGTAAAAGTAACCGCTAAGGTTTCCGGTTCCGCACAGCTGTGATTAAATTCTATAGTAAATAGTATTTATCATTCGGTCGCATGTTACTGTATGTTCTTCTAACTGGCTTCCAGATTAGCGGTATGTATGTCGCGTGATTGTTGTTTAATAAATCCTCATTATGAGATTAAGCAATTAATTCATTAGTATTATTCATGATGCCTCGTTGATCGGTGTTCAATAAATCGTTATTTGAGAATATGTGGTTAATTTAATGATCATGTGTATGCTTTCTTTCGTTCAGTAATACTTGAATTCAGTTTTTCGTTCAGTCATACTCGAACTTCATCATGGCTACGGAACACATCAACCATTATTGCTACGATGATACGGCACAGTAAATTATGTTTATAAATTTTAAGGAATGATATTGTTATTACTATACTATGAGAGTGAAATAAAATGAAAAATTATAAACAATCGTGGTTCTTCACGACGTATTGGTCCTATAAAGTACACACATGTCTATCACATGTTGCATACTGGTGTCCTAATAGGAAGGGATATAACTCTAGTTATGGAATGGCATGTTTCAACTATCCGGATTTTCGTTAAACCGCACGATTTTATCGGGAACAGGAATGTGTGGATAAACGAGGCTCCACTGTATCTTGCTGGGACTGCGGAATTGATCAGTTTGATCAAATCATAGACGAATTGTACTTAGCTTTTTATTTCTGTAGACTACTCATTGAACAACATCCCTATATTCAAAGCTA